TACTTTCACTTAGTTATCCTGTCAGTAACACACATCCTAGGGTCCTAGGGTGACAATGCTCATTCTCTGTACTGTATCTATGGAGGTGTGTTGTCACCGTAGGACAAAGCAACAGAAGACCTCCCCTCTTCTCCATAACATAGGGAGAGGGGTTTTGTAGTTGAGATAGCAGAGAACATTCTGGACCTTTTGAACGATTTGGTTTGGTTTTCTCTACAACTCTGGTTATCTTAACTGGAGCGTCTTCCTATCAAGATATGGTCAGATAACGCCATGGCAGTGGCATACATCAACCACATGGGAGGAACAATAAGTCTTACTGCAGCAAAAGAAGTGACAAATGTCATGTTACAGCCTTGTCTGCTGTCCACTTCTTTTACCATCATAAAACTGTGTGAAGAAATAAAATTTCATCCCAGAAAATGCTCCAAGGGATGATTCCATTAGGTCTGGATCAACAATGGCCCTGAGTACTATCAAAGGTCAGATCTCAGAACTTGTCATTTTGCTCCTAAGACCACCAGCCACTCATTCTTTGATTAAGACCTTCATACAAGGTGTTTCTCATGCGACTCTCCCAATGCACCTACCTGTCTCCATGGGATTTGTATTTGGTTCTCTTGGCACTTCAAAAAATTTAAAGCTATCGGGGATATTCCCCTTTCCACACCTACTCACCAAATTGTGTTACTTCACCTCTGCAAGACGTGCCTGAACTGGCGTCCATGTCCTGTAATGAACCCTTTCTGGACTTGCACAAGGACATAGTGGTATTAAAGTGGACCTTTACCCCCTTTCACTTAAAATCACATACTCTGCATGCTGATTTAAAATCATCTTACATTCATTAGTTAAACAAACTTGTTTTTCATTTACTTACAAATGGAGTGCATCTACTTCCTGGTCCACTTCTGGCAGAAAATGATTTATTTGCCAAAGCATTGCATCTTGGGAAGGTTGCATCAGCCAAACATTGCTGGGAAATCTCATATGTAATCTAATGAGATCTCAGGGAAAGGCATTTTATGTTTGTTTTTTTATTTTATTTTTTTAGAAAGAAAACCATGTTAAATATAATTTCATTATACCAATATATATTATAAGTATCTATTCAAGTATATGATTTGTTGCTATGAAGAACACGTCTACTTTTCTTGTATCTGGAAAGATGGATATACAAATCATTGGCTTTTCCTGTGCTTAGAGTGCAGGATTATTGTTGAATGCTTAAACATACTGTATGTGCTCCATGCACATCTGCATACCAACCTGACTAACATTTGGTGAGATGATTGTACACATATGTTGGAACATCATCTCATGTCTTTAGCCAGTGTGAGGTTTACCATTTACCACTGCAAAAGAAATGAACTGCTTATTTAATTTCTAGCTCACAGCATTTTTTCTTCAATTTTCTTGGGTTAATAAAAAATTAAGCAGAGAAACACATGCATGCACCACATACTTCACTTCAGTAAGTAACCCAGGAAATAACCCAGCCCCTCAGTGTCCATGCGAGGTGCTCTCTGAACACTGTCTGTAGTGGGTTACCATGAACGTAGATTAAGAAAATGTTTTTAGTATTAGAATTTAGTCATTTTAGCACAGATGCAGTATTTGCTGGATAACATTATTGGCTTACTAATTGATGTCACTTGTTGCTTGGGATTGCTCTTTGTTACTAGATGCTAATGCAGGCACGCAGTTTGACCTGGCAATGTCATTGTGTAAAAATGTGACCCTATCATTCCTTCAAATGTGTGGCTCTGTCAGCCCTCGTTGTGGCTGCAGATGTTGTGAGCCCTGTTCCTAAGCAACTGTGTAATTGCCTAGGGCAGCATGATCTCAAACAACTAGACAGTGTAAGGAAACGTGAAAGCACATAAAGTTCTGCATTCCGAAGAAGCCAATTAAATTCTAGATTACTTTTGTTGAAAAATTTGTTTTGGTTGCTGTATGTCACTGTGCCTTCCCAATTACTAGGACTGCATAAGCTAACACAAGCTCAACAAATATGAATTTATATTTATGGGTCTTGTTCAAGGAATGGGTATTAAGATGAATGATTCTGTGATGTTGTGGTGAGGCACAAATAAACACTCAATATAAGTAAGCGTATAAAGCAAAGTAGTAAATGGCCACATAACATTAGCAGGTGGTTGTTTAAAACAAAAAAAAATGTTACAAAAAACCCTTACTGTTTACACTACTACATACTTCTAATTGCATCCACTGCACAATTGGAGCTTTCTCTGGACTAGACCGTTTAAAAAGAAATATCCCCCCCACTTATTACTTTCAGTATTTTGCTAATATAACAACATAATTGCTCCTGATGTTAGACCTCAACTGTCCTTCATTTGGAGGGAAAGGCCCTCTTTTAGAACCAAATCCCTCTGCCCCTCTTTCCTCCTCAGCTGTCCCTCTTTTTGGACTGGTGTATAAATGTACACTATTATTGCCAAAAGTATTGGGACACCTGCCTTTACACGCACATGAACCTTAATGACACCCCAGTCTTAGTCCGTAGGGTTCAATATTGAGTTTGCCGACCCTTGGGAGCTACAACAGCTTCAACTCTTCTGGGAAGGCTGTCCACAAGGTTTAGGAGTGTGTCTATGGGAATGTATGACAATTCTTCCAGAAGCGCATTTGTGAGGTCAGGTACTGATATTGGACGAGAAAGCTTGGCTCGCAGTCTTCGCTCTAATTCAATCCAAAGGTGTTCTATCGGGTTTAGGTCAGGACTCTGTGTAGGCCAGTCAATTTCCTCCGCCCCAAACTCGCTCATCCAAGTCTTTATGGACTTTGCTTCATGCACTGGTGCGCAGTCATGCTGGAACAGGAAGGGGCCATCCCCAAACGGTTGCCACAGAGTTGGGAGCATGACATTGTCCAAAATTTCTTGGTATGCTGATGCCTTAAGAGTTCCTTTCACTGGAACTAAGAGGCCAAGCCCAACCCCTGAAAAACAACCTGACATCATAATCCCCCCTCCACCAAACTTTACACTTGGCACAATGCAGTCAGACAAGTACCGTTCTCCTGGCAACCGCTAAACCCAGACACGTCCATTGGATTGCCAGACAGAAGCGTGATTTGTCACACCAGAGAACACGTCTCCACTTCTCCAGAGTCCAGTGGCGGCGTGCTTTACACCACTGCATCCGATGCTTTGCATTGCACTTGGTAGTGTAAGGCTTGGATGCAGTTGCTCGGCCATGGAAACCCATTCCATGAAGCTCTCTACTCTCTGTTGTGCCAATCTGAAGGCCGCACAAAGTTTGGAGGTCTGTAGCTATTGACTCTGCAGACAGTTGGCAACTTCTGCGCAATGTGCGCTTCAGCATGCGCTGACCCCGCTCTGTCATTTTACGTGACCTACCACTTTGTGGCTGAGTTTCTGTTGTTCCCAGTTGCTTCCACTTTGTTATAATACCACTAACAGGTGACCGTGGAATATTTAGTAGCAAGGAAATTTCACGGATTGACTCATTGCACAGGTGGCAACCTATCACGGTACCACACTTCAATTCACTGAGCTCCTGAGAGCGACCCATTATTTCACAAATGTTTATAGAAGCAGCCTGCATGCCGAGATGCTTAATTTTATACACCTGTGGCCATGGAGGTGATTGGAACACCCGAATACAATGATTTGGAGGGGTGTCCCAATACTTTTGGCAATATAGTGTATTTATTACAGGTATTTATATAGCGGCAACAATTTACGCAGCAGTTTACAAAATGCACATTCACATTAATCCCTGCCCTTGAGGATTACAGTCTAAGGTCCCTATTTCACATGCATATAGGGCCGATTTAGAAAGCAGCCAATTTACCTTTTCATCGTGTCTTTGGAGTGTGGGTGGAAACTGGACTACCCAGAGTGTTATATACTAAATTAAACCTTGTACACAGACCTTTTTATTATTGAATTATTATTTTAAAAAGCCTGTATAATGTTTTAGGCAATCGTTTTTTGCTTATGAATCCTGCATTGTGCATGTAATTGGGCTCATGGCAGGGGTATGTTCTCTGCCTGCATACTTGCTAAAGGGTGTCCCTCTTTCTTATCCACGAAAGTTGGGAGGTATGTCTCAGGTGTGTATTACAGTCAACAGTTTCAGTTCCACTAGGCTGTCATTTGATGATAAATTAAGGTAAAGCGATATGGAGGAAAAAGGGGGTTTGGCGATTGAAAATGGGCTATACTTTTATAATGCTGGCCTACTTAGTGTGTATCCACTGTTTTTACAAAAGCAAACTACACAGGGTTATTATCAGATTAAGTGATTAGCAACATGTCATGATGCCCCATAATGCTAGGAATTGGTTGGGTCAAGCATGGTATTAATGTCCTCTTCTTAGGGTTTAGCCACATTAGTAATTAATGTGTATGTAAAGCCAAAACACTTTTTTTTGTGGGGAAGGATTAGAACCTCTGTCTGAATGTTGCTGCTATTCAAGTTTAGAAGGGAGGGAACATATGCTACATTTTCTGTATGTGTTGTTGTATATGTTCCCACCCTTGAGTGTTAAACAAATGTCAGCAGGACAGCAAGTAAAGATAATTCTCTCTAATGGTGCCCCAGATTGCAGTTTAAATCTGTCATGGGTTTTAATCCTCACTCTATTCAAAACTAAGAAACAAACGTTTTGGCGGGACATACACTTTAAATTGGTATTTATCTAATGGCCTGGTATTCAAAGTAGTCTTTTTTGAGAGAGAAACTGAAGCCATGGACCTAGTATAGGTCCAATTGTATGTATTTGTATTAAAGTGCTAGTACCTGGTCTGGATATTTGAATCCCATGTAGTTTAACTAGTGCTTTACTGTTGCTTAGTTTTTATGTTGCTAGATTTATGATTTTGAATGATTTGACCACATTCAGAAAAAAAAAGACTTTAATGTTATTGCCATTCGCACAATAGCTTAGATCTTTAATGCTTGTGTATCCTAAAAATCTATTTGTTTTTATTTTCTGTATTTTTTCAGGCCTTATACAGCTCAATTAAGAATGAGAAGTTACAGTGGACAATGTAAGTAATATTTCTTTAAGCCATATGAGTGTATTCAAAACCTGAACTTCTGTTTTGTTATTGTCTAATTTTGTTTTGTGTAGTTTATACATTATTAGCATTGTGTTATATAATTCACATCAAACAAGAGGTCTAGCAACGTAAAGGAGAAAAAAGTATAGAACATGTTGATGCAGTTTGTGGATGGTGTTGGAGGTATATGACTAAAGATATGCTTGTGTCTTTCAGACACCTTGTTTTTGACATCATCACCTAAATGGCTCTGGTTTAGTAATGTAGAGCTGCGAAACCTACAAAATATCTGTAGCCATAGTCTGCCCCTAGCCCCATAGAAATGTGATATGTGGATTTTGAGCAGGGTAGGGTATAAAGTAATTTCTGTATACAGGGTAGCAAATGCAGTACCAGTCCATGTTGATACTGCGTTTCTTGTTCACTTTTATTCCATTCCAAGGTCGCCCCACAACTCACAGTTGCACCAAATGTGCATAGTTCCCAGCGTTCCCTCTTTTAGAACAAAATCTCTTCCATCTTCAAATGTCCTTTTTTACATCAGCTAATGAGATCTGTATAGAAATGTGCTATTTACCTGCCAAAAGTGTTTATTTTGTACTTGGTTTTAAATGATTGTGTTGGTTATCTTTAAAATTATATTGTAAAGGAAACAGTGGCAATAAATGGCAATGATTGTAATTTTAATTCTTCCTTGTCCTGTTTGTTAGGGTTGTGGTAAGGCTGTCATCTGCTGAAATATTTTGTCCTAAAAAGCATCGCTCTTTTTCATCTTATTAAAGCTCAAGTAAACCTTGGTAAAAGAAAAGAAAATGGGCACCCAGGAGCTACTAGCCATAATGTGCTAGTATGTACAGCATATTAGCACATTACAGCAGACTTACCTGCCACACGTATCCCCTCTAGTGCTGAGCTCCTCTCTCTGCATCTTCGGCTCGATCATCTTCTGGGTTTCAAGTGTTCGGCCGATTGATTGGCCAGTCTCCTTTTGAAGTAACTCCCGCTCATGGGCACGGGAGTTACTTCATCTCCGCATGCCAGGTCTGAGTGCTGAGCTGTGCATGTGTGGCTCAGCGTACAGAAAATAGAAATTGCGGAGTGGTAAAAAGAAGTTTTAATGGCAGAAGAGACTTACACAGTCTCTTCTGTCATAAAAATGCCTACCAGTCAGCAATTTCCTTTTCCATTATGTCCACTTTAAGTAGATAGGTGTGTATGTGGCCTACATTGGAAGACGGAAACAGTTTTACAGTCTGCTACAGACACCAGTGTGCAAATTTGGTTAAGGGTACAAGTCTCTCCAATGATTTTCAGCACTAATGTTTTTAAAGGAATTAGAGTAGCTCTGACTTTACTTGTTCCCGGTCAGTAACTCAGAAACTTTTGAAGCCAGAGACAGCCAGGCAACGACCAATTTCAGCAGGAAGTAGCCTACTTACTTTCCTTTATATAGACTTCATTGGCTCTAAGACCACAACTTTACTTTAAGCTTTTATAATAAAGGTACAAAAATTATACCTTCCCAAAATGCCACCTCAGTGTTTATGGCCAGTTACATAGTTACATAGTATTTGAGGTTGAATAAAGACATTAGTCCATCAAGTCCAACCTATTAGGATCTCATTCTAGGTGTACCTGTACCCCTGTATATTGCGGTCCCTTAAGAAATCGTCCAAAAGTTTCTTGAACAATTCCACATTATTTGCTGAAATCACCGCCTGTGGCAGTGTGTTCCAGACCCCTAAACGATCTTACTGTGAAGAACCCCCTTCGCCCCTTGTGCTGGAATTTTTTTCCACCAATTTTAGGTGGTGGATTTAGGTAACAAAAATAGGTTTCTTCTTAATAAGATAAGAGATCAAATTGCCTGACCTCTTGTCAAACATCCATTTTCTTGAGATTACATTTTGTGCAGTTTTCCTTCCTCTGCTTGATTGCTCTTGAAGAAACCTGCAAAGATTCAGCAGGGATAATTTACAGCAAAGCCATGCTGCTGAGATGAAGTTCTAGATAGCAGTTTAACTTAATGCAAAGGCTTTTAGCCTCTGTTTGCAGAAAATGTTTTGTAGAAGGGAATTGTTTATGGAATTATTTAGAATAATGAGAAGCAAAAGGTAGCATGAGCCCCCTTTCACAATCGGAAGCTCAATGTTAGTCTGTGGGCAGGTGAATGTAAACAGATGTGCGTCTGTTTACATTTGGTTGCCTCCGGGTCCATCTAGGTCCAATAAAAAAAAAAAACACACGAAAATGTGTGTATCCTCTTTCATTTTTTCAAACTTAAATGTGATGGATCAGAGGTAAAAGGACGCACATAGGTTCGTCCAGCTCCATTTAGCTCTGTTTTTTCTCTCTATCACAAGATGGAGGAAAAAACTGAATGGACATGAATGTCACACGTGATATGTCACAAGTGATATCCGTTATGTTCAGATGCAGCAGGGGATCTGTTCACAGATCCCCTGCTGATCAGAATGAAAGGCGCACGTGTGAAAGGGGCCTAAAGCATATTCACACTGAAAATTGATCTATTTAAGCGTATACAGTTATTTATGTATAACAAGTAGGCAATACAGAACCCAGAGACAATTGTGTTTTACTGTATATAAGGAAAAAAACGGCACTATCCAAATGTGTTCAAACCAGAAGCAATGAAAATGATAATGTGATACAAAACAAAAAAACCCGTGAAATGAGCAGCTGCTTAAAAATTACTACAATACCTTCTAAAACATAAATAATGCTTCAACTTATTTCATATGATACATATACTGTAACAAAATATAGTACTCAGAAAATCTCTATAGTAAAAGGGATGTGAAATCAACATACAGCAAAGTATTTTGTTAAAAGGTCCACTCTGTGCTCTGTTCTTCTTCTTTTCAGCATGGGGTAGTTTCATCATAAAAATAGAACAAATTTCTACTAGTGCTGTCACTAGTTGGAAATCCCGGAAAGGCCCCAAGACTATCAAAACTTTCCTGTGCACAACTTACTTGAACCTGTTCTGTACGGTGACTGGAAAACTACTGAGAAATTATTTACTCTGCCCAAACACTTTACAAACCAATACCTGTTTGAGGATGCATTTACCAAGTAATACCCACTGTGGATCTGGTGATATCTGGTCTTAAGAAAACACTGACCACTTCTGTGGAGGATGTACCAGTCTTTAAGATCGACAAATATTTGGAAACCTTTTTCAAGGCATTTTTAAGTCTGTCGAACCTTAGGGAACTGGAATAAACTGATGTTAAAGGATCCAGCTACTAATCTTCCTGATAGCAGAGCCCTGCAGAGCCAACCTGGAAACCCACACAGCAAACCTGAGAGTGACCCTGTAGAGCCCACCTGAGACCCTGCACAGACCACCCAGGAGTGACCCTGCAGAGCCACCTGAAATTCTGCAGAGCCCACCTGAGACCTCACACATAGTAAATCAACTCCAGCCCACCTGAGACCCCACACATAACAAAAACCCTGCAGAGCCCACCAAAGAGTGACCCTGCTGAGATAACCTGAGAACCTGTAGAGCCAACCATAGGCCCTGCAGAGCCCACCATAGGCCCTGCAGAGCCCACCATAGACCCTCTATGGTGGGCTCTGCAGGGTCTCAGGTGGGCTGATTGGGGTCCCTTTCCCTGCACTCCTCTTACCTGTCAGCCCCGAGACACCCGCTGCTGGGCCCTGGCCTCAGCCACCTCCGTTGCCACACCGGAGAGGTACCTGCGCTGCTGGGCCCTGGCCTCCACCACAGCCTCCTGACCAGGCCCCCCCTCTGCCCCAGGCTCATAAAAGTGAGTGGGCTGTTCACTTTGCAAGGGAATTTTCCCCTCAGTTTAGTGAATGAGGTGAATCTCTCCTGACTTCCATCATCCAATCATGTGCATGGAAAAATATTGTTTTTATTTTCTAATTTCCTTCCACAGCATTGGTTTTTCAACATTCAATAGTAAACCCCTCTATGTCTTATTTCCTGAATGAGTCTCCTGTCTGTGAATATGCAAATGACACTTGTAAGAGGAACAGCATTTTAAGCAACGCTTGCCGCATATGCCTTTCGATGGTAAACATCTCTTTAGTGCCTCTTTGAACACCCTCATAACTAATTTGTCCCAGCAAGAGAGCCTAAGCGACCAGCTAGAAATACTTTTTTTCTAAAGGCCAAAAAGAGTGCCTTTCATTATTCCCATGGCTCAACCTCCAAGGCCAGACCCAAGACAGGAGCCCAGTTCAATTGCAAACCCTGGTCCCCTAAATCTCCCAAACCTTCAGACAAGTTTTCCTCAGCATGAATAGATGCCCCCACTTTCCAGAGTGGGGGGGATGCCCGTTGGAATTTGCAGACATCTGGTCAAAAAGTATGTTGGATGCCTGGGTAAGACATAGTATGCACATGTACTGTTTGATGGAATACAAGATAAATAGCATGGTTTACTTTAAGAATACATTTCTATATAATATATTCTAATTAGGGATGCACCGATACCGGTTTTTTGGTACCGAGTACAGATAATTATTTTTCGTTACTCGCCGATACCAATTACAGAGTAACGGAAGTCCCATTCAGGAAGCCAGATGGCGTGTAATGACTCGCCACCTAGCTTCCTGATTACCCGGGAAGCCAGGCAGCGTTTAAAGAGTCGCCACCCGTCTTCCCGATTAACAAGAAAGTCCCCTCTTACCTTAGTATGTGCAGCCTGTCACCCCGGGGCCTCTCCAGCGAGAACACGTCCGGTACCCAGTCTGAGCCGTCTGGCCGTCCAATCAGGAAGCCGGGCACCGTGTAATAACGCGACGCCCTGCTTTCTGACTGGCCGGGAGGCCGGCTCCATGCTCTCGTCATGAGATGACGAGGGAGCATGAAGCCAGCTTCCCGGCCAATCAGAAAGCAGGGCGTCGCGTTATTACACGGTGCCCGGCTTCCTGATTGGCCGGGAGGTCGGCTCCATGCTCTCTCATCACAAGTGACGAGAGAGCATGGAGCC